GCTGCAAATAATTATACGGCCCGAAAGTATAATAGAAAATTGTCAGATCTATTACCTGCTCGATTTCTGTAATTTGTTCAATAAACTACGCTGAAGTGTTCCAAATAAAGAGCATTCCCCAAGTTTATGGAGATTTCCCGAGTGAAAGCCTCTTTCTCCGACGTTGCACCTCCTCCACTCTGCTTGTTGCAATTTTAGATCCGCTGGCTGAACGCTTTTGATGGCTTTTTTTTCGGTGCCTGTCCTTCGTTTTTCGTGTCCATGAGAGACCACGAGTCCATCGTGTGTTGATGCTGATGACAGCATCCGAAGAACCGAGGAGCTATGGAGCAGCTGAGGAGACCACGTCGACCCCATGATGAAGTTGTCGTTCATCGTTCGCCGTTCATCGTTCATCGGGGGGCTGCTCGTTAAGTTGCCTTTAAGTCAAGTTGTTTGACAATCTTCGCAGGAAGAAGCAGCCAAGCCAAGCCAAGCTGGGCTAAAAAAAAAAGAAAATAGAGAGAAAAAAAAGTGTTATAAATTGCATTTAGTGTCGGGCCACGTCATTGCTGATTTGTTACGGCTGCCAACGGCTAACGGCGGAGGGGGCCAAAAGGTCAACCTCCAGGCCATAACAATAGCTTCTGTCCGTGGCTCTGGAATACCAGTTACCAGTTACCAGTTACCATATCCCCACATCGCACTGTCCAGATCTTTCAGTTCATACTGCATACTACATACATATATATGGATATATATACATATATATATATATGCAAATTGAGATGGCAATGATGCGTTCTGGAATTCCGAATTGTTTACAAATTTTCCAACAAAATGCTAGCGGGAGGAGCCTAGATATGCTAAAATAAAACTTCAAGTCATAAACTAAAGACTTTGTTTACAAATTAAATGCAGCATGCAAGCAACAAGCAACAAGCGACATCTTCATCGCGTCCAAAGGAGCCAAGGAACCAAGGTGCACCTCCTCATCCCATCCCCAGATATGCGACTTCAGATACAGGCCGTTTTGGTTTTGCTTATGAATTCGCTGGGTGGACCTGCCTGCACCCTCTTTTTACACCGTCCGCCCACCAAACTGATTCCTTCTGGCGCTTGGGTGTGATGTGTCCGTTTCACTGTCCTCCAGTCGGTCTGTCCATGCACTGAAAAAAAGAAAGATATTAGCTTGCGGGTTCTCATAGTTAAATATCTGCTTTTAAAGTAAGTTTGCCTTTTTCGATACTGATTTTCATATTAAAACTTCTGATTAAGTTCTGAAAGAGAATAATATATAGAATTATTAATAAACTAACAAAAGCATTTTCCTTTACAATTTCTAATACCAGTTAAGTAATTTCTTCCCCTGTACCTGTCTGTTTGTCCGTTTTGTCCGCCGGCTCGTACTTTATGCCCACCGTATGCAAAGCAGCCCGCAAGCCCAGCTACATGTGTTTTACATGAATTTTAAATGATATGTTAAATAAAAATGCGCAGCTAAACAGCCCAAGGCACCGCACCACAGTAAAGACAACGCAACGGCAACCAGAACACAGTGAGTGCAAAGAGTGCGTGGACAACGACTCCCAGAACACGCAGTCATAAAAAAAAACAGTGGTTGCAAATGCAAGTTCCGCTAAATGCTTAATTTTTGCTTTGTTTAAAAACGAAATTACATATTGTTAAAGTTTATTATCCAATTAAGTAGTGCTAAAAATAATAGAAAAAAAAACGGTGAAAAAATTGGAAATTAGTTTGAGAATTAAATGAAAAAGAATAATAATGATGATAGCGGGATGATTTCCTTATTGAGACTGGCTATATGCTAATCTTTATTTATTTTATTAAATTGCTGTTAGAGATGTTGTTAAGAAAATTAAGGGTACTGTGGAAGATTATAGTATTTTTTAACTCACTGTAAGGGGTTTTATTTTAACTAAAATGAATTCTTATTAAGAGTCAGAAATATATGTTATGAAGTTTGGTAATAACGTTTGTTTTTAACCATAAAAAGATTTTAAATTCGACATTATAATCAAAAAACCACACTTTCCCTGATCAACCCACTGTGCAGGTGTATAGGAAATCAGAGAAATGAAGCCGGGGAGTGGGGTCAAAAACTATGCAAAGTTTATGCGAATCTAAAATATTTGCACTGGGCAAGCGCATGTGCAGCACACTCAATTGTTCAAATACATTTATATATATCTTAAAGGCAGGCGAAAAGGAAGGAAAACTCTATAGAGCTGGGAGAGGGAAAACTGGGCAGCAGCAGCAGCCGGCGATGGCCGGAGTTGGTTTGCTTGGATGTTGAATGTTGGATGTTGGTTGCTGCCTGATGCTATCAATTCAAAGTCAAATGGGGGGACAACAAAACAAATCGGCGCTGCATCTATAATGAGCCCAACCAACGTGGACCGGACCTCAGATCCCTGGCTAAGCTTAAGAAACAGGCCGGGCCAAGGCCCCAAGTCGGAATTGATGAGAGCGGGCAACCATATGGCCAGCGGGCTCGGGTCCAAGCCCAGTCTCCAAACCCTGGTCCAGACTGGGTTCGGGATGTTTTGACTTGCATGCGCCTCATTGAGTTGTTTTGTGCGGATTTCCCCCTCTGTTCCTCTTTAGTCCCGATCTCGGCCAGCACGATCGGCCATAGGGACACCCACCCAACGCACACACTTCGGCCTACAGGTGGGGTCAAAAAAATAACATAGACCCCTGGGCTGTACTAGAATGTATATATTATTTTTAATCTTTTTTGGATATTTTTAACATTGACTTTGAAATATTTAACAAATTTTCATTATGGAAAATGATAATCTGTTACAAATACCAAATAATTTAAGGATTAAGTATATGATATTTCATAAGTCTATCAAATTATTGTGGTAAATGCAACGTAGGCAAGCCAATTGAAATATCATTCAACCTTTCTAAAAGACTATAAAGAATGATCTTATTATGTTGACCCCAACTGTACACACAGATGCGCTTAGTGGCCTGAAGGCATCGCATTATTCCCGTTCGTAGTCCGATTCGCATTGATTGCAAAAATTGTTGAATGCCGCACAATTGAATCCGGTCGCGGGTCTATAAATGTCTTCATTATGATCTTGAGTAGTTTGGCCAATTTGCTGGGGACTGGAACTGACCAACTGGTATTCGAAGGTATAAAAAGGGACTTTTGGTCTCAAAATTTCGAAAATAAATTAATTTTTAAAAATATAATTAAACTATATAGAAGATTATTAATAGTTTAATTAACTAGAATCTAAAATCAACAAGGAAGACAAATGAGTTTGTTTTAATTATTTGTTGGTTTGATTTAATACGAATTACTACTGGAAGTAAGGCGGAATCTTCAGCTTGATCAGTAAACGTGTTATTTGTTTTTCAAATTTAGTTGCCAATTTGTAATCTCTGGCAGCTAATCTGATGAAATGATCAATTACAGTTAATAAAACAATTAACTCCTTTGGTCAGTTTTCGAAAATTCCCGCCCCTCTTGTTCAGAAATTAGCAAGTGAAAAACTGTGCCAACACCCAGAAAAACTACGAATCCACAGAAAACTGCAACCCAAGCAAAGGCCAAGAACGAAGTTTCCTATAGAAAATTTGAGTTGCAGTTAAAATCACACCAAGGAAAAGCCAAAGCCAAAGCCAAAAGCAAAGGCAAAGGCAAATCAGGCATTAAATTGCTCATGAGGCCGACAATTTCTTTAAACACAGAGCGCAGAGCAGCGGCTGAGTTGGTAATAGAAAAGGATTTGACTCGATTGAACACCCGAATTTGCAATTTTCGAGTTAAGCTCCGTTGCGCCCCCAACGCCTCGGAAAAAATGGTGGGCGGTGAGCTAAAAATTATAGCCTAAGCCCAGGCAAGTGGAAGAGCAGACGGAGTTTCAGCCGTCTTTTTTTCCTTTTCCAATTGCTGCCTTTATTTTTTTTTTCTTTTTCGGGGCCATCTCTTGGCCAAAGCACTTAACACGTCAACACGGTCGCCGGCGCTGTTTTCCCAAGCAGTCGGCGGGATTGGGAGTAGGATTTCGGTGGGAGTTGCCAGTTGGGCGGACCAACGAAGTGGAGATACGCTTCTCCACACGAAAAGAAATAGTATTTCCCAGGATAACCCAGTTTTTGTTTAGCAGGACAAACCTTTTTCTTAAATGATAATTTTAGGAAATGTTAATAAAAATCGAAGACTTATTAACTATCAATAAAACCGTTTCCTAAGTTCGTTGACATTTCACTACCCTTACCCACAGTACATACCTTACAAATGCAAGAAAACTCCATCACTCCCGCTGACTTTTCCGCCTTTTATCCAGGGTTTGGGCCATATCGATAAAAACAATGTTGCGGTATTCTGCCTTATGCTGACATGATTACCCAGCTAACCAGCTGCCGAGCCACAAACTGAGCCAAATCCAAAGTCGAGGCTAAGCCCGAATGGTTGATTGTAGGTGCAAGTTAAGATGCACTGAAAAAAGGTACAAAAAAGTGTATATTAGATTATTACATTAATATATATATTATATTAATATTTATTTACCCTTATTATACTTTACTTTAATAAACAGTTGTCAAGGCATCGAATTCAAGGGCATATGCTACTTTTTCTCAGTGCTGTAACTAACTAGGATTGGAAATGGGATTGGAACTCGCATGTTGCATGCCCATATAGATCGATAAGATGGCCGAAGATTGAGCCAGAGAGGAGTGTGTGTATCGATTATTATCTATTTTGGTAGAAATCGATCGTGATCGATTTATGCTGAGATGGTTGAACAAGGTTAAGTGGCTGCAGAGCCTCAAAGGGGAATTATAATGCCACTTTTCGCCATCTGAGCTGTTAATGTGGCAACAGGAGTTTACGTAGATATGGGCTAAGAAGACCTTAAACATGAGGGAAGTTACAAGATAGTTACCAGTTGATAGAACACATCTTTGTAGCCCTTGCATTTCCATTTACATATGGAAAATTATTCACAATCCAAGTATCCTCTGATATTTACGTACTCGTTTGCTTTTCGCCCTTTTTCGATTTGGCCTTTTGTCGTAATATCTGGCAAATAAAAAAGAAAATTTATAAATTACCTATAACCAACAGGCATTAACGAGTGGACCATGTCGGTACCTCCCGAAGATCGTTTGCGGGACAATCTTAACCGCTGTCTATCGGACTCCTTGGTTAAGGGATTTGGAGGTCTGGTGATTGGATCCGTGGTCACCATACTCTTCTTCCGTAGGCGCATTTGGCCCGTCTGGCTGGGAACTGGTTTTGGCATGGGCGTGGCATATCGTGGATGTGAAAAGGAACTCAATGCACTGAAGTTTAACCAACGGAAGTGATATATCGAACGAGTTGAAGAATGAATTTTACGGATGTTTTGTTTATTTGGAATTTGGAATGATTAGAGCAAGAGAACTTATTAAACATATATGTTTTTTACTGGAGCTATTGGTGCTGGATTAGGAAAATAAATTGTTCTTAAGCTCACTATTTTTCATGAATATTCTTTAAGATTACATAAAATCGGAATAACAAAAGCTTTTGCTCAAAAAATTATAGACATGTTATAAGAAACAATGATCAAAATATCTACCTAAACGTTCTTATTGTCTTGATCTAGAGCTAGTGATATCTGCCAATAGGTGATGGCATTCGCCACCTATTTACCTGTTTTATATATCCTTTTATGTTAACCGACCTTCCTCCACATAAATCGCCCGAAATCCCGTTGCAAACTGGTGCTAATGCGACAAGTCCAACGGAATACCCTCTTCCCTCCAATCAACTTCTGCTCTTACAGATCTTGTCCACTTCTAGGAAAGATCGCTATTCGCGATTCATTTGCCAAGATATAGTCGAGGGCAGTGCTTCGCATTCAGTCAGAGCTTCCGAGGCAATCGGTTGATCACCAGTGGAGTCGAAAGAAACGAGAAGAGATTGTGTAGCACGGTCGGCAATTATAATATATACAAAATCCATTACGGTTCACAGGTCAAATGTAGAAATTGAGATAGATCCGCAGCAGCAGCCTAGAGGCTGGATTTGGTTCATTGGCAGCTTTGCACATTGTCCCCCCCTCTCGAAACACATCTTAAAGCTGCTTTTAGTGTTGCCAAGAAGGAGCTGAAAAATAATTAAGAAAAGATTTGACATGAGTATTGAGTTCGCCTGAAAGTTAATCATAGAAATGGAATTTATAAATATTTTTAAATTTGAATTTAGACTAACAAAGATCTGAAAAGCTTTGGACAGTAACCTAAACTTAAATAAATATTTAACATTTAGTATTCAGATCTTAACAAATGGTTTGTTTATAAAAATATTCTTAGTCTTAATTTATATTCTTAATAAATATTTTTAATATTTGTGCGTATATGTGTGTTCAGTTCATTGTAAATTTTCCAGTTAATGCTCAATTTAAATGGCTAAATTGTCAGCACTGATCCTGTCGACATCGTCATCGTCGATCAATGCTCAATTCAGCTCAGTTGAGCCTGTAGCGCCGCATCGCATCGCATCCCATGCCCATCAAGATAGTCGAAAGACCCATTGCCTCCATCGGATCCCTCCATTCCCGATCCTCGATCCTCGATTCGAGTGGCGGCTAAGGCAATCGTGATCGACTCGAACTCTTCTGTATTCTGGTATACTGGATTGTGGATTCTGTCTGTGGCTTCCACTCGCCGCATCTCAGAATTCGGCAGCAATTTTTCTTGGCCGCTCCTTTTTCACCTTTTCCACTGACTACCTTGGCCATATAGTATACGATATACACGATATCCGATGCGGCGACAGATTCGTTTTGGCAGCTACGCAGTCTTCTATGGAGATGATCAGTTTGGTTCACTCGTCCTCTGGTTCCTCTTATGAGAGCTTCTTAATTCTTAATTAGAATAAAAGTCTTAATAAAGATCTTATCTTTCTTATTTTTATAATAATGTAGTATTATTTAGCAAGCTATTTTATGGGCTATAACCATTTGTGTAATAATCTTTGTTTGTTAAAAAAGTTTATAAAAATATATTTGAATTTAGTACAAGTTCTAAGAATATTTTATATATTTCTAAGTTTTTAAGATTTCCATTTCATTACGAAAAATATCCCGAAAATATTTGTTTTTTCCCCTGAGAAATTCCCTACGAACTAGTTCACAGATTGCTTTTGGCCAGATCTAAGGCCACAGCCAATCTTTGGTTACACACCAATCCCCAAAAAAAAAAAAAAACTGAAGCCTAGACCAAGTGGCCAAAACCATTCCTCTGGACTCGAAGCTCTCGCGCTCTCCACGTTTAATAAGCAATTTTGATTTGGAGCAGATTATGTGACGACCAAACGAGCTGGAAGTTCAGGTTGCATGCCACACTGATGCACTGCACACTATTGCTGCCTGGCTACTGATGCACTGGAAGAAAGTTACTTTTGAAGGAGAAGTTGTTAAGGTAATAAAACTATTTTCAGAAAACTTGTTGATCATGAAATGGAATTTTCACTTTTTATAAGTACGAGGTGTGTTCAAAAAGTAAGGTGACTCTTCAAATTTCGCGAATTTCAAATTTTTCGATTATCGATTTTTTTGTTTTGTTATATTGGTACACTCTTCCCTAACATCTGTACCAAGTTTCAATGGAACATCCTCTTTTGTTTGGTTGTGAGAGGCGTAAAGTTACAAGTTGTTTTGCGAGCTCGGCGATTTTTTGCTATCGAAAAATATGGATCAAAGGATTTGGATTTTTTGGCCAAAAACAACACCACAATAATGCCTCAGCCACCATATTCACCGGATTTGGCCCCATGTGACTTTTTCTTGTTCCCAAAACTGAAGATAATCGAAAAATTTGAAAAATTTGAAATTTGAAAAGTCACCTTACTTTTTGAACACACCTCGTATAACTTCTAAAAGGTTTCGATAATCGAAAAATTTGAAATTCGCGAAATTTGAAGAGTCACCTTACTTTTTGAACACACCTCGTATTTTCTGTTCCAAAGACTAAAAATTAATAAATTGAGGAAAGTAAAAATGATTTTCTAAAAGTGAAATGGAAATGATATCATCAACCTTTTCAGATTGTAGAGACATAAACTTCTTACTTTTGAATGCAGTTCATAAAGAACAACTGGCTTTATACTTTTTCGGCAAGTGTAGCCGAGCCGAAGGAGCCGCCAGCTTGGAGCTTTTAACTGCGACTTGCACTTGACTTTGTCGCTGACCCGGCAAAGATTTTTAACTGGGACTTGTTGCCAGTTCCTCGGCTCCCTGATGCCGATACTGTTTACATGGAACTTGTACTGATTGCTCCTAGTCATGCCCCCGATTTGGAGATTCGCAATTTTATGATAAGACTACTGAACCGAGCAGCAGCTTGCCAAGTTCATTTTCGCAGGAATTGCTTGAATTTTTATTGAATTTTAATTGGTCAAAATGGTGATGAGGACCAGGACCAGCAGCAATAGCAGCAGCAGCAGTCTGGCAGAATTTTCCTTCAGATCGAGAAACATATGCCTGATGACCGACCCTTTTGTGACTACGATCCGGAATGGCAAAGGTTCCCAAGAAAATTTAGATCAATTTTCCTAATTTACCCGGGCCTCGGCGATTGCGTGTCGTGGCGTGAAAAACGGCACTTGAGGAAAACCCACAGAACGCGAGGAGTCAGAAGAGGTGGAGGAGGCAGAAGATGAGGAGGTGGCATTCCAAAGAGCGGAGGAGGCTGAGGCAGCGGAAAATAAATCACGACTCAAGTTTCGAAAGCGCGAAACTGTTACCAAAGCACTTAAACTTAAATTGGCCAAAGCGAGCTGCGAGCTAATCCAGCCACAAAGATCCCACAAAGCCCCGGCTTTTTTTTTCTGTTTTCTGTTTTTTTTTTCCTGGCCGGGCGGGGAGTCCCAAATTAGAAATAGTGTAGATAGATACGCCAATAGAATTTATAGTGAGCCTCTCGGACTGCGTTCCTTTTTTTGCTTTCCAACTGCCGCTGCCGCTGCTGATGCTGATGCCGCTGCTCCTCATGATCATGCCCTGGTCAGGTTAATTTTGGGCACGACCATGGCCATGCGGCCATGTGGATGACGATGACGATGATGATGGCAACGCACGAAGGAAGCCGCACTAAGTGCACTGAGAGAAATTGGGTACTTCGGTGAAAGAAATGGGAATTATAGAAAGATTTTTGATAGGGTTGTGTGGCATACCTTGAGTCAAATATGATGTACTATTTCTTAACTGCAATATTTACTCAATAATACATTAATATCCCAAGCTAACCCATAACTTTTTCCTGGTGTAACCAAAGTGGATAAGCGGGGGGTTAGGTGGCGGTCATGGAGTTAAGGCAGAAACGTGCTCAGGGATCGCAGCTTAAGTTTAATGGAACCAATTGAAGATATTTTGTGGGCAAGTGATAAAGTTGTATGCCCAGTTGGTGGGTGCCTTCTTCTTCTTCTTCTTCTTCTTCTACTGATGCCTCTCCATTGGCTTTCGTCTTCTTGGTAACTTCTAAAGGTAACTTGGCATTTCCATCAACAACTCGATGCTGCAAGTTCACTACTTCACGAACCCATTAAATGATGCGTAAGCCCAACGTGATCATGCGTCTCCGAAGGGGCCCAGATCACACGATCCTGATACGCAGAGAGTGGAAAAACCTGGGGAGAAATCAGCGTGAAAATTGCCAACCTCCCCGCCCCCACATTGAGTTATGTGAAAATTGCGGAAGAATTTCGTGAGGCGGCTTGTTAGTAGATGGAAGGAAAGCAAAACCAAACCAAACCAAAAACCAAACTAAACTAAAGTAAACCAACATTGAGCCAGGTCCAAAGGCAATTGGCCTGCAATCAGTGAGGGTAGAGGAAGTGGGTGAAAGGTGCTGCAAAAAGGGGTTGGGAAGTAGGTTAAGGTAATTCCCCGATACACAAACATATGCCCAAACAAATTTTTAGCCAAGGATTGTAGTGAGAAAATCACAGCACTTAAGTTTTTCTATCATAAGTTGATATCGAATGTGGTCTTTGTTATTGAAACTACAGTGAGGTTTCTTGGATTTAGATAATAAATATTTTAAATATGCCATTTTCTCAGCTTACTAATCTTACTACTTTTAAGATCTTATAATAATTCTAGAATCTTATCTCCTTCCTTTGTATTTTCTTAAGAATTTCCTTTTCAACCGGATAGTGAAAAATCTATGGGATCGTTTGCAGTTTCTATGCTATGCTCTTTGTTACGTCACACTTCCGGTGCCAACCAATCAATCAAAGGGCTGCCAACTCCACAGTCTCCGTTTCTTTTCACTCTTCACCCCCTTTGCCAGCTTTTTCTGCGAAAAAGTTCTTCGACTTCTTTTGCGGCTCTTTTTGCGGCTCTCTTATTTATTTTGGCTCATTTTTACGCTTTATGCACTGCCCGTTTCCCGCACACCTACCTACCGCCCGCCTGCCCGCTTTTCGTACTTTCCAGATGGTTCTACTATACCTTTAGTTCCCCCCAAAAACCTCAATCCCTTCCTTTGTTTCCGTGTGCTGTTGTCCATTAAATTTGATACCCACTTATTTGGCCAATAAAATTAACCTACCTCAACTTGTTTGGCCTTCGT